GTAAGAATGGTGATGATGATGGTGATGATGGTTGTAAGGATGATTATGATGATGATGATGATGATGATGATGATGATGATGATGATGGTTGTAAAGATGATGATGATGTTGGTGGTGGTGGTAGTAGTGGTGGTGATGATGATGATGGCGATGATGATGATGATACATTTCGTGACATTGTTAACCGCTGCTAGCAATTTTATTTAAAAGAGATAAGTGATCAATGAGAATATTTTACCAAAATGCAACCAGCCAATCAAATGGCAGTACTAAAAATAACCGACCAATCAGGTAGTTACTTTGGCGAAATTAGCATACTTAACATGGGCCACACGGGGAATAGACGGACCGCTTCCGTCAGGTTAGAAATAATATTTTATTATTATTATTATTATTATCAGTAGTAGTAGTAGTAGTAGTAGTAGTAGTAGTAGTAGTAGTAGTAGTAGTAGTAGTAGTAGTAGCAGCAGTAGCAGCAGTAGCAGTAATAATAGTAGTAGTAGTGGCAACAGTAGCAGTAGTAGGAGTAGTTTTGACAAACTTGAATAAGATAATTGCTGTTTTCACTTGAAAGGGATGATAAAACAGCTACTACTACTATTATTACTGCCACTACTACTACTACTACTACTACTACAGCTACTACTACTACTACTGCTGTTGTTGTTGCTGCTTCTACTACTGCAGCTGCTGCTATTGGTACGTTAACAAAACATGATAAATTTTTCGCTTTGTATTTTTTCTTCTCGTCCAAATGTTTTCATCTATATTTTTTCTCTAACATTGTTCTGGAGAAATAATTTTTTCTATTCTCTCTCTTCCTCTCTCTCTCTCTCTCTTTCTCTGTCTTTTTTTTCCTCTCTCTCTTTTTCTCTCTGACTCTCTTTTTTAGTTTTTTTTATTTTCCATCACACCTTCTTCAAATTTTTTTCACACCAAGACAACGTCATTCCGCGAACTTCCTGAAAAGTAATTAAAAATTGAGAGAACGAATGAACGAACGAACGAATGAATGAACGAATGAATAAATGAATGAATGAAAAAATGAATAAAAAAATGAACGAATAAGAAATGAATGAAGGAGTGAATAAATAAATGAATGAACTGGAAAGTGCAAATGATGGAAAGAATGAAAATATAAATAAATAAGTTTACGAAATGAATAAATTATGAATGAATTAATAAATAAATGAAAGAATGAACGAACGAACAAATGAATGAATGAATGAACGAGTAAAAGACTGAATGAATGAAAATACAGTTTTCCCTGAAAAGTTCAACAAAGTCAATTGTCATAAGTGAGTTGGTGCATAAATTTTGCTTTCCCGGTACGATTTCCAGTGCATCTGGAATTACACGGCGACTCAAAATTATAAATGAATTATGCTATTAAAGACAATTTTATTTTTAAATTATAATAATAATAAATAGTAATACATAAAAACAATGAAACAATGAAAAAAGTTATACAAATAAAATAAAATAATGAAATAAAACAAAATGTCAAATGCAGTAAATAGGGTATTAATCTGAGAAGCTCATCATTCGAATAGAAAAAGTACGACCATAATTAATTAATTAAATTAAAATGTGTAAAAATTTAGTTTTAAAATTGATTCATTTCACATTTCTGTCGCAATAGATAGCGTACGACGATGATATGGCAGAGTTTATATGGTTATTGCAAAAATAATCAGTCCAAATATTATATAATAATAATAATAATAGGTCAGTGGGTTATTCGGACTTATTCTGCCTGTCGAAGAACGACCTTTGGGAGGTCTTGAAGGACTACCCTACGGCCAGGGTTCGACTCGAGGCCATCGCCGTCAAAAGAATGGAAAAGTACAAAAAACGTACACCCATCGATGATAATTGGGTCAAAGGTCAGTTAGTTTTTCACTGGTTGGGGGCTTAGATCGATTAAGGTCGTTTGATGATTGGTTGGGTGGTTGGTTGGTTGGTTGGTTGGTTTGATGATTGGTTGGATGGTTGGTTGGTTGGTTGGTTGGTTTGATGATAGATTGATTTTCAGTTGACCTTGGTAATTATACCTATGGAACACATCGTCGCGTTCGACGAATTGTGTCATTGATGAGTCCGAGAACAAGCCTATTCTTGATGAACATCGACGACCACAGGTTCCACAAACCCACACCCCTGTGCTGTTACCATCCCGGGCCACCTGCTTACGCCGTCCTCTTTTTCCAACTAAAGCTGCAATGCGCGCCTCCTCAAAGGCGGAAACTGCCGCTTGTGAGCGTGTCTTCCACTGTGAACGCTCGAGCGCAACGACACCCAAGGTTTTAGAATCCAGTCCGACTTTTTTTAGGTTTTCCTTCAGATTATCTTTAAATCTGCGAACTGGACCGCTTGCAAGGCGAACTCCAGAAGCCAGCTGTCCAAAAAACACCTGTTTGGGAATTTTTGTGTCTGGCATGCGGATAACGTGTCCCGCCCAACGAAACTGTGCCTGTAACAAAACCGCCTCGATACTCAAGATACCACACATTTCCAATACAGTCGTATTTGGCACCCTATCCTTCCATTTAACGTTAGCGATAACCCGTAGACATCTCATATGAAACTGATCGAGTCTACGTATATGGCGCCTATAAGTAATCCATGTCTCACATCCATACAACATTGTGGTTAACACAACTGCCTTATAGACAGATATTTTAGTAGCCAGCGACACACCCCGTTCCTTCCAGAGTCGTCCACTCAAACCACCAAAAGCAGCACCAGCCTTGGCAATCCTAACCGTAATTTCATCATCGATTGCAGTAGTGTTGGAGAGGTAGCTACCAAGGTTGCAAAATCGATCCACAGCGTTCAACTGCGAGCCACCAATAGTTACGATGGCTTTAGAATCCGACGAAATAGGATAGCTTTGGTGCAGAACCTCTGTTTTCTTCCTGCTCACCGTGAGTCCAAACCTTTCTTCAGTAGTGTAGAAACAGTTGAACAGAGCCTGAACTTCACTTTGTGTATGTGCAACCAAAGCGCAGTCATCCGCAAAGAGCAGGTCGCGGACTATTGTGGTTTGTGTTTTTGACTTCGTCTGTAGGCGTCTGATGTTGAAAACGTCTCCATCCACGCGATAGCAGATTGGAATGCCCTCTACACAATGTTGAAAGGCGACTCGAAGCATTAGGGAGAAGTAAATGTTGAACAGCAAGGGAGCCATGACACACCCCTGCTTGGTACCATTCGTCACCTCAAAGTCCGGGGATCGATCACCATTTTCAACTACGGTTGCCCTCATGCCTTCATGGAAGGAGCGAATAATCGACACTAAAATCGAAGGACAACCGATCTTTTTGAGACATTTCCATAACGCCGAACGGTTGACGGAATCGAACGCCTTTGTTAAATCTATGAAGACGAAGAAAAGTTCGCGTTGTTGCTCACGACATTTTTCTTGAAGTTGTCTGGCAGTAAAAATCATATCCATAGTACCACGACCAGCCCGAAAGCCACACTGACCCTCTGGAAGGATACCAACATCATTGACGTACTTGGTTAGGCGATTGACGGTCACGCGGGCCAATATTTTTCCAGGAATCGATAGCAGAGAAATGCCTCTGTGATCATCACAGCATGAACGATTCCCTTTCCGTTTGAATATGTGAATGATAAGGGCATCCTTAAAATCTTGAGGAACCGATTTCCTATCCCACATGTCTTGGAACATTGTCACCATCCTGGTTTTAAGTTCGATGACACCACATTTGAAGAGTTCTGCCGGCAGCCCGTCCAAACCCGGAGCTTTTCCATTCGACATTTGGGTGATTGCTTTTTCCACTTCAGACAGGCTAGGGGGATCATCGAGATCACCTGCAATGCTTCAGTTAGGCAACTCAACAAGGACTGATTCATCAAACCGGGATTCTTGATTTAGCACACTGTTGAAGTGTTCAGCCCAACGAGCCATGATTCCATGGCCATCCTTGATGAGTGTTTGACCATCTTTAGACAGTACCGGGACACTACCGGAGCTGCGGGGACCAAACACAGTTTTCAGATTTCTGTAAAATGATTTCATGTCCCCGCGGCCGGCCGCTACTTGCAATTCATCAGCTCTGGCAGACCACCAAGATTCCTTCATCTGACGAAGCCTCCTCTGTGCAAAACTGCGTGCTTGCGTGTAGCATGCTTTCTTGACGCAGTTGCCCCTGTCATCTATCCAAGAAAGATGGGTGCTGTGCATGTTGTCCAGCAGCCCACGTGTCTCCGTATCCTGATCGTCGAACCAGTCCCTATGCTTAATACGCTGATATCTAAGCACATTAAGCGCAGCTATCTTCACAATCTGCTTGAAATTTGACCATTCTGTGCTCTCATTTGTTGAAAACTCACCACACAAAGCATCGCGGAACAAATTTCTAGCTGACGGTTCTGTTAGCCGAGTCACATCCAGTTTGGCTTTCCTTACAGTTTTGTGATGCCTTCTGACTGGTTTATCTGTAGGAAACACCGACATCTTGATGAGGCGATGATCTGACCACATTGTTGATGCTCGCATCGCTTTAGTTAGACGAGCGAGACGAAGATCGCGTTGTCTGATAAGTATGTAGTCGATGAGATGCCAGTGTCCTGAACGTGGATGTTTCCAGCTAGTCTTCTTCCTGTCAGCCTGTTGGAAGACTGTATTTGTCACCACAAGATTGTGCTCTGTACAAAATTCGAGGAGCATGGTTCCATTTGAATTTTCCCTACCAACTTCATTTCGTCCAAGCACTTTTGGCCACAAGATGTGGTCTTTACCCACACGGGCGTTAAAATCACCCAAGACAAACAACTGATGGTTGTGTGGTGTTGAATGAACAGCGTCACCGAGCTGCTCATAAAACAAGCTTTTCTCCTCAAAAGTTGCTCCAAGAGTTGGCGCATAGCAGCTGATCAAGGTAGCAGTGTGACCACCCTCCAGGTTGAGCCGCATCCTCATTAGGCGTGGTGAAATACCATAAGGTACCTCATGTACAGATTTCAGGAGTGTGCTACGAATGGCAAAGCTCACTCCACCAGTACGCACCTCACCTGCAGGATGACCTTGGCAAAAGAAGGTGTAACCAGCACCTCTCTCCTCGACTGTGTTGCTGCAGAGATTCTTGTCTTGCTGAGCGCAGCAACATTGATGTCATAACGCGCAAGTTCACGCGCAACAATGGCAGATCGACGTTCATGACACTTCCCAAGAGCCAACATTGTCCGGACGTTCCATGAAGCCAAATTTAAAATTTTTCTTTTCTTTTGACCGCATAGTAGGATACCCAGTCAGCCACAGTAGGCTGACAAGGTCGGCAACATTTTGTCTAGCTTTTTTTAGGACAGATTTTTTAGTCCCCTCTCCGGTTGGAGAAAGCAGTGCATCCCTGAATAGGGCTGCTTTGTCACCCTGGCAGGATACAAAAATTGCTGTAGCTATCAGCAACAAACGACCATCACACCAAGGCCGCCCGTGTGTTGTGTTGTGACTAGACACTGCCAGTAGTACCCTCTACCTGTGCCCGTCGCCACTCGCCAATCGCCGCAGGACTTTGTTTGCACATCCATACAAGCATCAGACCACCAAGACCACCTTCACACTAGTTGATTTAAGTGGAGCATGTTTGTGCGGCATGCTACACTCTCTCCTCCACAGGGGTCGGTATCAGCAGGCACAACGAGTTGAGACACGCCGAGCGACCAGTGTGGACGCAGAAGTTTGGATGAAACTGCGGTGCAGTTTTATCCTCGTAGCCAACTATCCTGGCTAGATTTTTAACTGGGTTTACTCCCAGGCCTTTCCCAAGCGTGGGTATAGCCGTAAGGCTGCGGAGGTTTGAAATCAGAGTTTTCCTTCTCCTAGAATAGATGGTATTTCCTTACGAGCGCCATCCGCCCGGAACCTGGTTTAGGCGCCAGTAACTCGTCTTCGCCCTCTCCTGTTAGTTAGTAGCAGCCCCCGCCACGTGCAGGAAGGAGTAGGACTTTGATGGTCGTAGCGCGCACACTACAAGCCTTTGGTGGCATTTTGTAGAACTGGGGAGTTCAGCCCCCAGATCACCACCGGCAAGCCATTGCGTTTGTCTTCGTTAATAATAAACTGGAGAATTAAATGTAACATATGTCTTAGCCATTATATCTATGACGTACATACATTCAAACATACTGTTACAACAGCTAGAATGGTCTGAATTAATTATCATAAATTAATTATTGTTATTCTGTTATATTTGTTATCTTCCCTATTTGTCATTGTTTGCGAGCCGTAGAATCTTTTCACAGCATAGAGGATTGTCGAAATCTACAGTAAAGGCTAAATAAGGAGTTGCCAATAGCGAAGTTACTGGCGAGGTTTGAAGAGGAGTTGTAACTGTGATTTATGCAGTTGCTTGGATTGGTTTAGTGTTTATATTACTGTTGGTATTCAAATAAACGTTCGTTCAACGAAGTTTGCGATTGAAGCAGTTGTGTTCATCTATAGGGAACCATGAACCAACGGAGTAACGAACACTTGACGATCGCTGGAAGCTACAACATTGCTGTTGGAAATATGGAGATCATTCAAGTTATAACATTGGTGGTGTCTCTAGTAAGGAGCGTCAAAAGACTACAACAATACATTAGTACATACATCAATGTTTCAATACATCCACATACATACATACAACTTGAGATAAAAACAGACACACATACAAACACACATACACGTGCATACACACATACATACATAAAACACAAAAGCATATTGGTTTTCCTTACATTATGGCTCTCGCCAATTAGCCCAGACAATATACATACATCCATACAGACGTATTGACTGCATGTAAACAAACATCACATACTATTATTAGTAACATTTTGCATGTATGTGTGTTTGTATGTGTGTGTTTGTATCTGTGTATGTGTGTTTGTGTGTGTGTATGTTTATGCATAGTACTATCAATACTATTTCTCCGTGGTAAGACATATGTTACATTTAATTCTCCAGTTTATTATTAACGAAGACAAAGCCACATTTACACATATCAATACATTCATGTGATGATGAAAGCAGATACACAAGGAACCAATCATAACAAAAATCACTGTTGTTATTATTATTATTATTTAAAAATCTAAGAAAAACCTCTCTAAACTGTCATCTGTCTTCGGTTTCATTTAAATTTTTAAATTAAATTTTTTTTTCATATAAATATGAATTTATCTTTTCAGCCGTCACAGAAGCGGCTACTGGGAGTTACTACTACTACTACTACTACTACTACTACTACTACCTACTACTACTACTACTACTACTACTACTAAAAGAAGCAGTAGCAGTAGGTAGTAGTTGTAGTTGGTAGTAATAAAAGTAACAACGGCAGTCGTCGTAGTAGTAATAGTGGCAGAAGCAGTAGTAGTAGTAGTAGTAGTAGTAGTAGTAGTAGTAGTAGTAGTAGTAGTAGTAGTAGTAGTGGTGGTAGTAGTAGTGGTAGTGGTAGTGGTAGTAGCAGCGGTAGTAGCAGAGGAAGTGGTAGTAGTATTTTGTGGTCTGTAGTGGTCCTAGTCTAGATGAGAAGGATTAACTTGCTAGTGAAATTGCAGTCTAGTGTGGCGTAGTGTGGCGTGGTGTGGTGTGGTGTGGCGTGTTCATTCATCGTCATCATCGTCGTCGTCATCATCATTATCCCCAGTCTAATCGTTATGATCATTATCGTTCACATTTTCATTATTTCTCTATTAAGCTCTGAAGTAAAAAACCCAACAAAAACATGAAGACATACATTCAGGCACACAGATAAACACACACACGTGTATGCATAGGCATCCAAACCTATTATACATACAAACAAACAAACATACACACGCACATACAAACAAACACACACACCTACCTACATACAAACAAACATGCATACATACATAGAAATACACCCACATTCCAAAAAAGAGAAAAAATCACATTGTTTCATTCCCTAAACCCCAACACTCGTTCAAGCAAAGAGCAGCTTATACTGCGTGGCGTGCACAATCGTACAGACCTACATACACGTACAAACACACACACACATATACATACATTCGTACAAACATACATACATACAAATAAACATACACACAAATACATACATACAAACCGACATACACACCAACAAACATACAAGCATACATACATACATACATACAAACCTACAAACATACATACATACAAACAAACCCACAAACAAACATACAAACAAACAGGCGTCCCCAAAAGCCGCAGCGCACCTGGACTCGTAGAATCTTCTGGAAAAGTTTCCCTCGATAAAATGCTACTCAGATCGTACCACTACAACAACAACAATAACAACAAAAACAATAACAGCAGCAGCAGCAACAACAACAACAACAATCTGTCGATACAGCTCACTAAATACGCTGATGCAAACAACAAAAAGAACGATTGGAGTGTTAATAATGGCAATAATGATAATAATAATAATAATAATAATAATAATAATAATGATGATAATAATAATAACAATAACAATAATACTAATAATAATAATAATAATATCAATGCTAACGATACATCAGGGAAGTTAGTTTGCTTTTAAACATTTTGCAGCATGATTTTATTTTTTGGAGATAATGATGATGACGACGACGACGATGATGATGATGACGACTAAGATGATAATGATGATGGGGATGACGATGATGACCACGAGATGATGATGATGATGATAACCACGAGATGATGATGATGATGATGACCACGAGATGATGATGATAATGATGATGACGTAAAAATGATTACTTTCTATTCTATTCGTCATTCAAGGCCGTTCGGACCACATAACAATGACGGCCAACGTCAACATTTTCTACCCCTTTACACCACCTACAACCAATCACAGACGAGTCCAAACCTATTAGCTCCGCCCACAAACTTTTCTATTGGCCTCCCGATTCTTACTCCGGCGACTTACCTCCAAAACCCGTCCAGCGTTTCGTCATCACCTTCACCAATATTTTCATTTCAAAATAATAATAATAACAATAATAACAATAATAATAATAATAATGTGTTACCTTATATCGTTTTCCCGCCATTTCAAGAAGCAGTTGGTTCCTTTCTGGTACCTTCAAACCAGGGCTCCTTTTACGGAGGTTCTTTCGTATCTTTGACTCCAGGAATTAATTCCGCACCCGTCACATCCTTACTGACGCTGGCGACTGATGCCCAACTAGACGAAGATGAAAGCAAAATGGCGGGAGGTTTGAATATTGCAGTGCGAAATGACGCAGAAGATATTTTGGCCGGAAGTGATGACGTAAACGGTGATGGGGAGTATGTCTTTAGGGATGTGACAAACGCGCACCCAATGAAGAAACCTCAATCTGAAAATCTCTCAGCCAATTTAGTGAGCAGTCACTCTGAAATAGTTTTCAATTTTGAGAATGTAGCGCCAGATAATGGACATGGTGCTGGTGGAAAATGTGGGGAGGTAGGAATGAGATCTGGCAGGGAGGGGAGAGACGCAGGTCGTATTGGGGACGATGTGGCAAACCTCAACAGATTATCAACATCAACAAAAACAAATTCGTCACTACAGCAACAACAAAATCATACATACTCACAACAACAACAACAACAAAATCATATATACTCACAACAACAACAGCAACAACAACAACAGCAGCAACAACAACAACAACAACAACAACAACAGCAGCAGCAACAACAACAACAACAGCAACAGCAACAACAGCAGCAACAACAACAACAACAGCTTTTGTTTCAGCAACATCAACAACAACATTTGCAGCAGTTGCAACAGCAAATTGCCTACCATCAATCTGTTTTGCCGTTACACGATCCGCTTCATTTCAACGCCCAGAACTCTATGCCAAATATGTTTTTTAGCTTTTCTAACCTCTCACAGCAGCAGCAACAACAACAGCAACTACTGCTACTTCAACAACAACAGC